GTTAGAGTATGGCAATTTAAAAGTATTATTCTATTTATAGAATCTTAAGCAACTCATGTATTTAGTACCTACTGAACTAATTGTACTCACTCCAAGCTTCTGTTCCTTGCCCTGCTGAAATTTTAGTTGCGCAAAGAAGAATTCCGGTAGACGCAACGACATTCGACGTGTATAAATTTGAAGTGCTGTAGATACTATTTGCATATCTGGTGCATGTGCAGCTATTTTCGTTTTGACAAGATTGATAGAGTATCGTACTAAGAGGCAGTGTGTCATAGGACGACATGAGACTTCCACAACATTCACCATTTCCAGAGCATACAAGCTTATCCTGAGAACTGATTGGCCAGGTTCTAGTCATGTGACATGCGGTAGCTTTGCACGTCTGTGCACAGTTATCAGCGGAACAGCGCATATTGCACACATCTCCAGTTTCGCAGATCTGTTTTGTACACCCGCCTCCGCTACATTCCATATTACATGTTTCGGCCTTGCAAGTTTGTTCACAATGCTGTCTACTACATCCCAGATGCATTTTGCATTCTTTCACCTTGCCTTCGCATTTCTGTATTTTACACCCGCCCCTACTACAATTCATTTCACATTTTGTAGCCTTGCAAGTCTGTTGACAATCCTTTCCGTTACATCCCAGATGCATTTTACATTCTTTTACTTGATCTTCGCAGTTTTGTCCTTTACACCCGCCTCCGCAACATGTCAGAACACATGTATCATCCTTGCAAGTTTGTTGTTCGCAATGCCTTTTGCTGCAATCCATACTACAAAAAAAATGACCATTGCTGCAATTCCGAGGATTTTTACGACACGCGCACGGTCTACACTTATCTGGATCGCAAGCGTCAGAGCCAAGCCCAAAACCTAAAGAAAAAAATTGTGATAGTGATAATACTGATAAAGATAGTTCCGACAATTACAAAGCGAACATAGCAGAAATCGCAAATTAATTCGTAGACAAGGTACTGATTTATACAAACACTAGCAGATTGTTAGCAACTTTTTTTAAAATATAACCAAAGTAAAGAGCGCTTTGATTGGTCAATTCAGCGTCCACCGTTTGCCCATAGGTGTACGCTGCTGACCTGAGCAAATGTAAAGACTAGTTATCCCAGCGCACTTGTTTCTTCTGGTCAGGTAAGATTTGTTAATTAAAAGAAAACTCTTTTGCAACAATGTATCAATGTTATGTTATAAAACAAATATTAAACGCCACAGTGTACACTATTGAGTTATGGATGCACTTGGGAGGTCTGCTTAGCACTCAAGAAGCTAGACATCGCTCTCGGCTTTCGCCTCTTGCGACCCTTACGCTTCTTTCGTGCTTAGCAACCTCCCGCGTGCATCCATAACTCAATAGTGTTCGCTGTGGTGTTTACCACAAGAGTTATTATCCTGTATTTTATTCGATATCGCATCTCTAATACCATTCTTCTATGGTTCTTGTTGCTGTTTGCAAGGATCAGCCTTAATCAATTACTTTAATTATGGGTCTAAGGGAAGGAGGGCGAGGGTTCTCCTTTTTTGGGCTAAACGGGGACATGTTGCTGGACAAGATATGTTTTTTTCGTCGTCGCTGTCCTGAACAGGGTGTACAATTTACTCGCCTCTGTCCTTAACAGGGTAAGAACCTGTCCTCAACACAGCATGGTATTACGAACCGAGAGACGTTAAGCAGCCATAAAAAGGTCAATAATCATCATCAGATCATTTTCTAGACGAGGATGCAATTGTTGCCAGTATCCTTTAGTTTATAGTTTTTACTACTTATCATTACTATAATCAGCGCGCATTGAAAGAGAACGTGCCGCTAGGTCTAGTTTCCTTGTGTCGGATAATGTGATTAGTCACAAGAAAACAGGTCTTTTTGAAACATTATACATTTAATTGAAATAATAATTTCTCTTTAATTTGCAGTTACAAAAGTCACCTCTATATATATTTTGCTCATTAACTAAGAACTTGATACTTGAAGGCCTTTTGTTTAGTTTTAGTGTAGAGACAAAATCTCTCCGGGTTTTAGATATATCAAACATGATTTCTCTAGTAGATATCTAGAAATTATAACCTTTTGAGCGTCCACAGGAAATTGCGCCAAAATGCTAATTACTTGTACAACAAAAGTACTTTTATATTTCTTTTGATAGCAAAGTAATCACGCTTAAGAAAGAGAACTTTTTTTTTGACAGTATAAGAACTAGATACCTTAACACAAACCACTACAGTAAAAACAAAGGATCAAATGAGCAGAACATAGCTCAGCACGTGCTTATAAAACTTTGTTGCATTTTTCAGCCGTCCTCTGCAAAACAA